GGCGGAGAAGCTAGAAATTAAGAAACGGCTTAGAAATAAGAAAAGGTGAGCGGAGAAAGTGAAGGAGGAAATTTGTAAACGGAGCGGTAGCCCGTATTCTGTGTACCGCAGAATAAAGATATACATACATACAAGTGCCATTCATATATATTCGTTGATGCTTAATATAAAAACAATTTGCTATTTAAATTTATATAATAATTAAACTTTGATATAATTTGATATGAAATATTATTATTGTTATGACAATGAATTATTCTAATTGCTAGAACACATGAAAGTGATGGTATCGTTTATGGACAAGTTTAAAGAAGGAATATTCGTGAATTGGATTGGAACCAAGCCTTTTATTACTGTGTATAAGCCAGAATATTTGGAGGTAAACAATAAAATCAATTTGCTAAAATATAAAATGTAAAATGTAATCTATCTTCTTATGTAACAGTATAAAGAATTCTACAACATTCATAGCATCAAGTGTACATATGTAAATTTATTTTTAAGCGGAATTTCAACGTAATAGTAGAAATTAGAAGAAAAAGAAGCTTTACTGCAGAGAGATCTTTTTATCGCTGCTACTATATGTATTTAATACATGATCAAATATTGTTACATAATCAATTATTCGATGCATTCTAATATATATTATTCTAATATATTTTGTAGCAAACAGGTGATAGAAATTGCCACAATTTTGCCATGTAAATTAGTTTAATTAAAGAAATAAAAAATTTTTCTGAGAAACAATAGTTTATCTTTAGTAATTCTAATTTAATATCAAGAAGATCTGCCATTGAAAAATGTAAATTTATTTGTTATAGCGAAATGATTTAAAAATTTAATAAATAATTCACAGATTCTGCATAATTGTTTTTGGTAAATGAAATTAATAGCCATTGTAAATCTTCATAACTAATCAAATTTAATGCAACATTACCACATACGGATTTTGTATGTAAAACTATGCGTTGATGAAAAACTATGCGTTGTATCTTGTCCCTGAATATTGTTTGATCACATCTTTTTCAAATGTTTACAGCATATTTTTCCTAGCCCCGTGAACATCACCAAAGCAGATATGTATGATCTTTTTAAACCTTGGTTGGGCAACGGACTTGCGACTTCTACAGGTAAAGTCGCAACAAAATTTTTATGTATCTTTTTATTTAGATTATCCCTTTTTATCATTACATCTTTCAGTATTTGACAAGAATAAAAGACTTATTGTCACCAGTCAATAATTAACTAATGTAAAAAATTATTAAATGATCCACCTGGCAAATTCCAATTAAAGAGATTTGTTCAGTTTGATCAGTTGGATTGTTTAATAATTTAGATATAAAAATTAATTGAAACTTATGTGCTATCCTGTAATACGTGTGGCCACTCATACTTAAACAGGTTGGAAGGAAACAAAAAATGAGAAAATATATTTTAGTTTTTGTCTAAATACGTTCGTCAGTTTATATTTATGTACGAATTATTGTTTGTGTGTTAGAATATTGTGTTATTGAAAAATTGTTGTTTAATTTAATTTGCTAATATCCAACACTGACATTTAGGAAAAATTGGTACTATCGCTTTAAAGATTGCAGTGCTTTAAAAATTAGTAGTAGTAAAATAATACCATGCTAATTTTGTAGCTTCCTTCTGCAGATTTTACGACAAAAATATATCAATTTAATGTTGTTTCAGGACAAAAGTGGTTCCACGATAGAAGACTCATCGGACCAACGTTTCACTTTAGTATATTAGATCAATTTGCTGTGGTACTATCTGAAAAAGCAGAGATCCTAACAAAGTGTTTTCAAAGAGAGATAGAAAAAAATTCAGGAGAAGCCATTGATGTCTTCCCTTTTGTTATCAGTACTGCTCTCGATATTATCTGCGGTAATGTACTATACTCTTAATTGCAATGTATAATACAATTATACAATATTTTTTGTGTTTGAGCAGAAAAACCGAAATTGCATACGTAATTTACTTTGTAACTAACAATAAGTTTATCTATCAATTTATGGAAAGTAAGAAATGAAGTTATAAATAAGCAAAAATACCATTTTAAATTTACTAACAATAATTTTGATAAATAAATTATTTTGCTACAATAAAAAATTTTTTGTTATATCGAAGCAATAAGAATGCAATGCTAAGAAGAAACTATTTTATTTCGGCAGTAATTTCGAGATTTCACGAGCAAAGTTTAGCAAGATTTTTCTATTTTATTAGCAATACAAAGATTTTATTAATGTTATTGCGTAATTGATGTACACATTATTTGCGAGTAATAAGTATTGAGTTTAATTTATTAACATAATAAGTGACATGGTAAGGAGGATTAACAACCAATTGTTATCTTGCAGAAACGGCAATGGGTGTAAATATGCATGCTCAAGAAACTAAAACAAAATATACTTCAGCAGCACATAAGTTTGTTTCAAAATTTTTACTGCTGTTATTAATGAAACAAAGTTTCATAGTTATCAATAGTTTATTTTTTAATAGTGTTAAATATCAACAGTAAACTTCATGATTAACTATTTATAATTAATTTAAATTAAATTCCATTTGTATGTATATACAATAATTTAATTTAATGTACAAGTAAATTGTCAATCGTATTTTCAGAGCCTCCAGGTTAATAATAGATCGATCAATACGACCGTGGTATTGGATTGATTGGTTGTACTATTTACTGCCTGCAGGGAAGGAATTGAAATCAGCGCTTAATACATTACATGAATTCACAAAAGGGGTAATAATTCTAACGACTTTACAATGTAATTTACCATAATTTACAAAATTGAAATAGTGGTAGAATTTAAAGACATTTGTTACACTATTTCGTTAAAAAATTTTTATATTTACAACAAACGTGATAAATTTTAGGTGATAAATCAGAAAAAAGCTGAACGAAACTCGCAAAACCATACAGAACTCGAAAATGAAGACGATGAATCAAACATAGGTGTGAATGTACTATAAATTATAATTATACATTATGCATTTTTCTGCTAGCACTCAAATATTCCTTGTCTAAGAAAATTTGCTGTATTAGGTAAAAAGAAGAGAAAAGCGTTCCTAGATCTATTATTAGACCAGAATGAGAAAACTGATACTCCCTTGACCGATGATGAATTAAGAGCACAAGTTGATACGTTCATGTTTGCGGTGAGATGTTTGAAATTCTTAATATTAATTTTTTTCTCACTAGCTCGGTATCTATATAAAGATATATGTAAATAATGATAGGGGCACGACACAACTGCGGTCGCGATAACCTGGGCACTCTTTCTTTTGGGCGATAATCTCGAGCACCAAGAAAAAGTTCACGAAGAACTCGAGGAGGTTTTCGGAGATTCAGAAGAACCAGCCAGTGTAAAAGAGTTGTCGCAACTGAAGTGTCTCGACAGAGTCATAAAGGAGACACTGCGAATATTTCCAAGTGTACCTTTCGTCGCGAGGGAATTAACGGAAGAAGTAAAATTGGGTAAAACATAATTTTACCTGCCTTGTAAAGCAGTTATTGCATGTAACAATACGAGAAACACCTTTGGGTGTATTTTTTTTAGTATTTGACAAACGTGTTTATTATTTATTAAAAACCGAGCAAATGAAAACTAGACTAACAATAAGCAATTTATCTAATAATCAGTCCCATTCGAATCTTAAACGTTTAATTTTTAAACCGTAAAATATTTACATTGTCTAAAGGTAGTCAATGTAATATTTTATAAGCGAATGCAGTGCATATTAATTTATTACTTCTATTTTAGATAAATATACAATTCCGAAAGGTGTCCTGGTTTCAATACCGATATATTTAATACATCGAAATTCCGAGGTTTGGCCGGATCCAATCAAGTTCGATCCGGATCGCTTTCTTCCGGAAAACTCAAAGAACAGGAATCCGTACGCTTACGTTCCGTTCAGCGCTGGACCGAGAAACTGTATAGGCCAGAGATTCGCTCTACTCGAGAGTAAAATCGTGTTGACTGCTATTCTAAGAAAGTGGAGGGTGAAAAGCATGAAAACGCTAGACACGATTAAGTATACTGGCGTTCTCATTTTGAGACCGTGCGAGGAAGTACACATACATTTCACGCCAAAGAAATAAACAGTTTACCAGCAAATGCATTGCCCCGGTAAAGGTGGATAATCTCTCGTGGACATATAGAGCAGATAAAATAACCCCATAAGTGCCTAGTGATTTTACACTTCTGTAATGAGATACTTGTCTCTAAATGTAAAATTTCTCAAGCATTTTTCACAAATATCTCCTATCTCGCTCTTTAGATTTTAATAGGTTCTAATAATTATTTTAATATTAAGCAAAGATTTTTAAATCAATGTGATGAATTTCGTGATAACATGTCAAAGACTGAAAAACGGGCCAAGGGCATTAACCCATCTGTCTAATCTACGAAAGTTTGGAGTTGGTACGTTGTTTTTACTTTTACATTATTTCAGATACTCCACATTTATTTTAGGAAGAAGCTAGTACAGGTTTTGCGAAAAAAGGAGTAGTACTATCAGCGCGACTTTAGAGCGATGCGTGGTATCTCACTCAACAGTGTGGTCGTGTGTATAATCGAACTCTGATTATATAATCATACGAGTATTATCATGAAGGAACTTTATAATGCGATATGAACAAGTATTATCAAAGTTCAACACGTCGCGATTTTGCAATCTCACTCTGCAGTTGAATCTTGAATCAAGAAGAGAAGTGAAAGAGTTGAACCGAGGTGAGAACAGAAGCGCACTATTCTATTGCTTATTTGATCGCATTTAATATTGTTCGCAGTATGATATAAATGTAAATCATAATTCCTAATAAATATCGAAGTGCAATAAACGAGGTTGTCAAAGGTGCTGATAATGTTCTCCTTCCTCGCGTATTAGGTTTAAAGCCTGTTTTATTCAGTTCGTTCTGGACTTTGAGCATTTGATTTTACTTCAGCTTCGGTAGGCTGCTAACCTTGCCGAAGGAAACCTCTAACCTGGGGCTCTATTCCGCACACGGTTACCGACGACTATCGATCTCGTTAACGATGTTTGCGCAATTTTTCTATCATGTGAAAAAAGCTGCGCACACGTCGTTAACGATATCGATGGTCGTCGGTAATCGTGTACGGAATAGAGGCTCTGGAGAACTATACCATTCCGATACGCACAAGTTGTATTTCTACTGTCCCATGCAGCGGAAAACGCGGAAGCGTAATTTTTGCCTGCCGATAATATACGCTATTCCTATAGTTACATGGTAGAATCTGTAGGAAAGATTCTTGTAATTGGCCAGCGCCAATTCATGCGCTTCCGCAAATTCCGCTCCATGGGACATTAGAAAATATTTTTCGGCGGAACGCATTTGGCGGAACACCTGCGATTGGACGGACTTCGTTCCGCCAATTCCATATTGCGCACGTTCCGCGTCCATGGGAACATTATAACAGAAAAGCTATCGCGCACATTCGCACATGCGCCTAGCAATACGCTATAAGAATTCAGAGGCACACCACCGTGTCTCTCACGAACCACTACTAGTTCGCTGCAGCATATCGTAAGGAAAAGGTGGGCAGTGAGTTGTTTCCAAGCACTTAGAGTTAATTTTAGCGATGAACTATTCATCACGTTAGTATGTACATGATTATCTGTTTAACTTTAAATTCTCTTGATTATTTTCGAAGTACATACTCACAAGCAGTACTACAACAATTTAATGTAAAATTTGTTGATATCTAGGCATTTTAATGACCGTATTTAAGGTAAAAAATTTTTACTGTTTGGGTCAGACGTCATAAACCGTTTGGGGCTATTTGTTGACTTTCTTGGAAGAATGAGTGTCCTTATAATTTAAAAAAATTACTTAAATATTATAAATAAAGTGTTTTTATAAAAATAATTGAGAAAATTAGTACGAGAAAAGTCAATTTTTCATTTCGGTAAATTAATTGATTTTAACAATCAAACTACTACGTTAAATTAACAGGTTTATTTACTTGAACATCACTCACTGTATTTAACAAGAAGCATAAACTTTGTTTTAAACTGGACCGATGTTTATTTCATAAATCAGTTGCATCTGTATGTGACAATCAAACCTGAACACTGTGGCAATCATCCTTAAAGCGGGGTAAGATCTCACAAATTAATCTTTGTACTTAACATAAATTTTCTCTTAACTGGTTATTAACGTAGACGTATAATATATAGACTGCGCATTTGACTGAAGGAATGTATTATAGAAACTTTAGAAAGAGACAACGTACTTTGAGTGGTAGCTCTCTCTCTGTCGCCCTCTATCGTTCCCCTTACTCTTCTGACGCCCCTCTACTTTACTAGACAATGATGAGGCGACCACTCAACTGTCAGCTATCTTATTCTAAAGTTTGTACACGTTTTCAACTCGAGAGAGATAGGGAACGCGCGGTCTATTCTTACTATGCCCTGCCGGAAATAATTCTATAAAATTCTACAAAAAAATTTAATATAACTGCCAGAATCTAAGAAATTCTACGTAAATAGAAAAAGTGCTATAAAAATTGACATGAAAATGCTAGAATTGGAACACTTTTGTTAATTTTTGTAATATTCGACAAGTAAGCAGACGTTTTAATTCTTTAAGATTTTGTTGTTTCTCAAATTTTTTAAACTGGTAAAGTTTTGTACTAATTTTTACAAAATCGTACATTTTTATGAAATACTACTTGCAATAATTTTTTTATTTAAGAACATTAAAATTTGTAGTATTATTTCGTAGATATTTTTACAAAAAATTAGTGTTTCAACGAAGATCTAAATATTTCTACAAATTTCTATTTCAAGTCAATTTTTTGTAGTTATAGATTTTTATTTTATTATTTATTTTTTCCGCTAGGGTGTCTATGTTATTACTATCTCAACTTTTGTGTAAGAAGTTAGCCAGATACGTGTCTTATGAAGCAACGTAGTAGTAATTATTTAAATTGCTTGGAAAAATCACTTGAACACTTCTAAGAATAAAATGTGACTTCTAACCCCGGTCTCCTCTACAATGTAGCTACACACCTATAACTACATACGCGCGTACGCACGAGCACACGTTATCGCAATCTTTCAATCAACTTTATCGCAATGGCAGTTGTCTTTAAGAGATATTTTCGGTCAATACCATAGTGTAAGGATTGGTCAGTACTGAGAATACAGTGACGGTGACAACGTGACGTATGCTATTTTTCTTCGCGCGATATCAATATAATCGGTCCTACTTTAACAAATTTAATAACGTACGCATTTACTTGATAATTCAGAGTATTTGAAGTGTTCGCAGATTACGAGAATGGATTTCATCTCTTTGGCATTGTGGACTCTTTGCATTGTTCTGATTCTCAAAATTCTGCCGACAGTACGTCGTAAATATGTTATTCGGCAGAAACTTAAGGATTTTCCCAAAGTCGGTGGACTTCCTTTCTTCGGCAAGATGTTTGAGATAATAAATAAGCCGGAACACGGTAAAGAACTATATACATACATTTTTTATTTTTATTTACTTCATATATTGTTTAGTTTTTACTTTTTTACAAGTGCCATTCATATATATTCGTTGATGCTTAATATAAAAACAGTTTGCTGTTTAAATTTATATAATAATTAAACTTTGATATAATTTGATATGAAATATTATTATTGTTATGATAATGAATTATTCTAATTGCTAGAACGCATGAAAGTGATGGTATCGTTTATGGAAAAGTTTAAAGAAGGAATATTCGTAGATTGGATTGTAACCAAGCCTTTTATTACTGTGTTTAAGCCAGAGTACTTAGAGGTAAACAATAAAATCAATTTGCTAAAATATAAAATGTAAAATGTAATCTATCTTCTTATGTAACAGTATAAAGAATTCTACAACATTCATAGCATCAAGTGTACATACGTAAATTTATTTTTAAGCAGAATTTCAACGTAATAGTAGAAATTAGAAGAAAAAGAAGCTTAACAACTTTAGAATGTGAGTAAAGAAGCTTTACTGCAGAGAGATCTTTTTATCGCTGCTACTATATGTATTTAATACATGATCAAATATTGTTACATAATCAATTATTCGATGCATTCTAATATATATTATTCTAATATATTTTGTTGCAAACAGGTGATAGAAATTGCCACAATTTTGCCATGTAAATTAGTTTAACTAAGAAATACAAAATTTTTCTGAGAGACAATAGTTTATCTTTAGTAATTCTAATTTAATATCAAGAAGATCTGCCATTGAAAAATGTAAATTTATTTGTTATAGCGAAATAATTTAAAAAATTTAATAAATAATTCACAGATTCTGCATAATTATTTTTGGTAAATGAAATTAATAGTCATTGTAAATCTTCATAACTAATCAAATTTAATGCAATATTACCACACACGGATTTTGTAAAACTATGCCTTGTATCTTTTCTCTGAATATTGTTTGATCACATCTTTTTCAAATGTTTACAGCATATTTTTCCTAGCACCGTGAACATCACCAAAGCAGATATGTATGATCTTTTTAAACCTTGGTTGGGCAACGGACTTGTGACTTCTACAGGTAAAGTCGCAACAAAATTTTTATGTATCTTTTTATTTAGATTATCCCTTTTTATCATTACATCTTTCAGTATTTGACAAGAATAAAAAACTTATTGTCACCAGTCAATAATTAACTAATGTAAAAAATTATTAAACGATCCACCTGGCAAATTCCAATTAAAGAGATTTGTTCAGTTTGATCAGTTGGATTGTTTAATAATTTAGATATAAAAATTAATTGAAACTTGTGCTATCCTGTAATACGTGTGGCCACTCATACTTAAATAGGCTGGAAGGAAACAAAAATGAGAAAGTATATTTTAGTTTTTGTCTAAATACGTTCGTCAGTTTATATTTATGTACGAATTATTGTTTGTGTGTTAGAATATTATGTTATTGTAAAATTTTGTTTAGTTAACTTGCTAATATCCAACACTGACATTTAGGAAAAATAGATACTATCGCTTTAAAGATTACAGTGCTTTAAAAATTAAAGTAAAATAATACCATATTAATTTTGTAGCTTTCTCTCCTGCAGATTTTACGACACAAATATATCAATTTAATGTTGTTTCAGGACAAAAGTGGTTCCACGATAGAAGACTCATCGGACCAACGTTTCACTTTAGTATATTAGATCAATTTGCTGTGGTACTATCTGAAAAAGCAGAGATCCTGACAAAGTGTTTTCAAAGAGAGATAGAAAAAAATTCAAGAGAAGCCGTTGATGTCTTCCCTTTTGTTATCAGTGCTGCTCTCGATATTATCTGCGGTAATGTACTATACTCTTAATTGCAATGTATAATATAATTACAATATTTTTTGTGTTTGAGCAGAAAAAACCGAAATTGCATACGTAATTTACTTTGTAACTAACAATAAGTTTATCTATCAATTTATGGAAAGTAAAAAATGAAGTTATAAATAAGCAAAAATACCATTTTAAATTTACTAACAGTAATTTTGTTAAATAAATTATTTTGCTACAATAAAAAAATTTTTGTTATATCGAAGCAATAAGAAAAATGCAATGCTAAGAAGAAGCTATTTTATTTCGGCAGTAATTTCGAGATTTCACGAGCAAATTTGTTTAGCAAGATTTTTCTATTTTATTAACAAGACAAAGATTTTATTAATATTATTCCGTAATTGTTGTACGCATTATTTGCGAGTAATAAGTATTGAGTTTAATTTATTAATATAATAAGTGACATGTTAAGGAGGATTAACAACCAATTGTTATCTTGCAGAAACGGCAATGGGTGTAAATATGCATGCTCAAGAAACCAAAACACAATATACTTCAGCAGCACATAAGTTTGTTTCAAAATTTTTACTGCTGTTATTAATTAAACAGAGTTTCATAGTTATCAATAGTTTATTTTTTAATAGTGTTAAATATCAACAATAAACTTCATGATTAACTATTTATAATTAATTTAAATTAAATGCCATTTGTATGTATATACAATAATTTAATTTAATGTACAAGTAAATTGTCAATCGTATTTTCAGAGCCTCCAGGTTAATAGTAGATCGATCAATGCGACCGTGGTATTGGATTGATTGGTTGTATTATCGACTGCCTGCAGGGAAGGAATTTAAATCAGCGCTTAATACATTACATGAATTCACAAAAGGGGTAATAATTCTAACGACTTTACAATGTAATTTACCATAATTTACAAAATTGAAATAGTGGTAGAATTTAAAGACATTTGTTACATTATTTTGTTAAAAAAATTTTATATTTACAACAAACGTGATAAATTTTAGGTGATAGATCAGAAAAAAGCTGAACGACGATCGCAAAACCATACAGAACTCGAAAATGAAGACGATGAATCAAACATAGGTGTGAATGTAAATTATACTGATACATTATGCATTTTTCTGCTAGCACTTAAATATTCCTTGTCTAAGAAAATTTGCTGTATTAGGTAAAAAGAAGAGAAAAGCGTTCCTAGATCTATTATTAGACCAGAATGAGAAAGCTGATACTCCCTTGACCGATGATGAATTAAGAGCACAAGTTGATACGTTCATGTTTGCGGTGAGATGTTTGAATTTCTTAATATTAATTTTTTTCTCACTAGCTCGGTATCTATATAAAGATATATGTAAATAATGATAGGGGCACGACACAACTGCGGTCGCGATAACCTGGACACTCTTTCTTTTGGGCGATAATCTCGAGCACCAAGAAAAAGTTCACGAAGAACTCGAGGAGGTTTTCGGAGATTCAGAAGAACCAGCCAGTGTAAAAGAGTTGTCGCAACTGAAGTGTCTCGACAGAGTCATAAAGGAGACACTGCGAATATTTCCAAGTGTACCTTTCGTCTCGAGGGAATTAACGGAAGAAGTAAAATTGGGTAAAACATAATTTTACCTGCCTTATAAAGCAGTTATTGCATGTAACAATACGAGAAACGCCTTTGGGTGTATTTTTTTTAGTATTTGACCAACGTGTTTATTATTTATTAAAAACCGAGCAAATGAAAACTAGACTAAGCAATTTATCTAATAATCAGTACCATTAGAATCTTAAACGTTTAATTTTTAAACCGTAAAATATTTATATTGTCTAAAGGTGGTCAATGTAATATTTTATAAGCGAATGCGGTGCATATTAATTTATTACTTCTATTTTAGATAAATATACAATTCCGAAAGGTGTCCTGGTTACAATGCCAATCTATTTAATACATCGAAATTCGGAGGTTTGGCCGAATCCAACCAAGTTCGATCCGGATCGCTTTCTTCCGGAAAACTCAAAGAACAGGAATCCGTACGCTTACGTTCCGTTCAGCGCTGGACCGAGAAACTGCATAGGCCAAAGATTCGCTCTACTTGAAGAAAAAATCGTATTGACTGCTATTCTAAGAAAGTGGAGGGTGAAAAGCATGAAAACGCTGGACACGATTAAGTATGCTGGCGTTCTCATTTTGAGACCGTGCGAGGAAGTACACGTACATTTCACGCCAAAGAAATAAACAGTTTACCAGCAAATATAACATATGCTTTTTATAATGTGAACACTGAAAAGAAAAATCTCGCTACCATAGCTAATCATGGCTTGCTTGAAATATTTTGCTGCCATAACTATAAATTTCTAAACCACAGCAAACGGTTTGCTATCGCATCTAATACAATAGGCACAGTAGCAAGATATTTGGCTATTACAACTAAATATTAGCCGTCCATATTTTACAACTGAAATTTAGTTGCCACAAACAGTTTTTAGCTACGGCAACTACATTTTTCTTTCCGTGAATCTTTATGATTATCAAGTGTTCTGTTCTATCTTCGATTTCTTTGTTTTATCATGTATTAAGTGGTTTAAAGTAGTAAAATTACGAAATTTAAATGTTTTTATTACCAGATATATATTACGTATTATATTATATATACATACACATATGTACATAATATTATATATACACATAATATACATATTCTTGCCTTGTGCCTAATATCACAAATATCAAATCGCACATTAATACAATTGTACTTTTACAACAATAATGCGATATTGTTTAATTTAATTTGGGATCCCGTTTTGTAGACGAAAAGTATCTTAATTTAACAAAAAGTTTTGACGACAAGTGACAAAAATCTATCCAGACACAAAAAGTATGATCTGGAATATAACGACAAACGTTAAACAAAATATAACGTGTGCATTTTCCGTGTTCCTTGGATTAAAATTAATATTAAAACATCCGAAACTACTAGTTAACGTACAGCTAATAAATTGCAATAATTATTTCACGCTTTTTAAAACATTATTTGGACCTAGTTTTGCATGATTTGTAGATCTGCTGTTAAAATTAAATGTAAGTATGCGTCATAATACGAAATGTATTACGGCGAGATGAATAATTAATTTGGACATATGGAGAAGTCACGTTTTGGTCCAAGAAATTCCATCTCTTATGGATTTAATACTATATATTTAATTTCTTATTCTTATGATGCCTTGTGATTAAGTCTTTATTGCTCTGTTCATAGCTTAATTTTATTATTGCATTGCGTACGAAGTTTATTGATTTATATTATTATTTTATATTATTATTTTATATTTTATAATTATATATATGATTTGTATAATTCGCGTTAATGATTAATGCGCTGAACCAATCGCTTACCATTCGATACCTCGATAGTCAAGACCGATAGAATTTTGAATTGCGCGCACGGTGCGCCTCGCAACATGGCGCCCGCGCGTGCGCGTTACCCAAAGTCCGTTGCTTTCGCGCGCAAAGGACCGTTGTCGCGCGGCGTCGCGTCGATGTGTCGCGAGCATCTTCATCGTGTATCGCGGAACATTCGCTTGCGCGTGTCGATCTATCGCGTCTAAGTTGGCCTAAGTGATCCGTTGTTGTGCGTGGGACAGTAATCGTCCTTATGCGATCCGATTCCGAGGTTGGCTTCTAATCGCAGCGAGGCCGGCGAGCGGCG